GCGTACAGTTGTACAACTGTATAAGAAAACCAAAGGTAGAGCCAGAAAGGACTTGGATGAAAGAATTAAAAAATTTCACGTGTGCGAGGGGCAAGTGAAATCAGTCAGAGAAGTTCATGAAGAAATGGAGTCAATGAGAGATGAACTTAACGAATGGAAAGCCAAGCACAAGGATTTGGAAGAGGAAACAAAAGAAATATATGAACAACTGAGTGTCTCATTAACTGACAACAAGAGGGTCATAGGGGAGCTCCAGAAATCAAATAGAGAACTGGAGCACTATATTGCAGTTTTAGAGGAGGCAACAGGCTTCTCTACTTACAAAGGAAAACAAGTTTCAGAGGCAAAACAGAAGGCAAGAACCCTTAAATGCTTCCTCTCAAGAGCTGAGACAGCTTAATGGTTTTCCAAATCTTTTGGGCTAGATTTAGATAGCCTAAATGTAAAGGAATTGGACACAGGTGGTATTCACAACTTGCATTTTTCTCAGGAATCTGGACAAAATGGTGCAGGTTCTAAATATAGCAACTTGCCAGAGCAAGATAAGGAAAAGATTGAACAAATTCTTTTCTTGCTTGATAAATTCTGTGTGGAAGATGCCTTTTACCATGAATTAACAATGACATTTGGTGGTCTCCCTAGATCTTATCTGGTAAAACAATGCCGAGATGACCTAAACAAAATGTGCCACATTGATCCACTCCAAGGGAAACACATTGGAGCTAAAGTAAGTTCAGTGGGAGATTTATTAAAGGAACATGTCCAGCATTACCTGCAGCAAAATCCATCATTTAGTACAGATGACAAAATACAAATTAAAGTTAATGGCGATGGAGCACGCATGACAAGGAATTCCAATTTTATTCTTCTTTCTTTCTCAATTCTTCAAACTGAACAGTCTGTTATGTCTGCCAAAGGAAATAGGACAATTGCTGTTGTGAATGCCTCTGAAGGGTACCAGACACTAAAGGAGTCATTCGGAGGGATCTTTGAGGAAATCAATCAACTGGTTGCCTCTGGGAAACTTGTATTTCATGAAAAAGTAGTAAACACTGAATTCTTTTTAGGAGGTGATTATAAATTTATTTTACTTATGCTAGGGCTCAAAGGTGCCACCTCAAATTATGCTTGTGCCTGGTGTAAAATTCATAAATCTGAGCGATGGAACATAGGAGAAAACTACTCTACCTACAACATGCCACCACTTGCAAGATCCCTTAAGGAAATCAGCAAAATGTCCTCTCTTTCTAAAGATAATTATTGCTGTGACAAAAAGCCACTGCTTAACATAGAACTAGACCACAGTGGTTGATGAGCTCCACTTGATGCTAAGAGTGACCGACATTTTAACAGATAACATCATTACAGAATGTCTCAACTGGGATAAGGATGATGATTTAAATCGAAAAAAAGGAGAGCCACAAGGTCTTCACTTGAAGAAACTAATTCAAGTAATAAGATCTTGTGCGATTTCTTTTGATGTGTGGGAGCAAAAAAATGCTGATGGTAAGGCAAGCGGAAAATATGACTGGACTAGTCTCTTAGGAACTGACAATAGAATTATGTTAGAGGCACTGCCAGACAAGTTGAAAAGCTGCTTGCACCCCCAAACTTCAGATGCAGTTGTTAAGGTTTGGAAAGGGTTTGGAAATCTCTATCGAATTGTAAACAACTGGGCTCCAGACAAAGAGCCCAATGCTTTCTTCTCTCAAGCTAAGGGGTGGATCAGCAATTTTCTCCAGCTCAATGGCAAAAGGGAGGGCTACGAGCGAAGCAGAATCACACCTTATATGCACATCATGGTTGCCCACATTCCCAAATTTTTAGAAAAGTACAAAAATGTCAAAATCTTCACAGGCCAAGGGGTGGAGAGAAACAATGATGTGGCACGTAGTGTGATCCTCCGAAAATCTAACAAATGGGATTCAGCCGGGGATGTCCTGCGACAAGAGCATAGGCAATGGGTGTTACACAGTCGTGAGAGGGAGGTGCGCTCATACGTTAAAAGAAAACCCACTTATTGGGATGAGGAAATCAGAGAAAAAAGACAAAACAAACGCAAGAGCCATGGTAATCAACAATCAAGTGAAGCTGACCCTGAATTGCATACTTCTCAGCCCACAAGCCTAACCGAACCTGACTTTGAAAAAATGTCAGTAAAGGAATTAAAAAATGAACTTAAGCAGAAAAATGGCAAAGGATTCAGTCATAAAAAAAAAGCTGAACTCATTAAACAACTAAAGGAAATTTGTGCACAAGAAAGTACACATCCAAGACAGTCAGCTCAGTGCAATGGCAGCTCATGAAACTATCAAAAATTCAAAAGCTTTTACACTACAGAGAGTTTAAAAATGTAAGACAGTTTAAATATAATAAGCTGTCAATCCAAAGCAGACACTCTGGAAGTTACTAAAAAAAAATGATAACTTTGCCTGATAGAATCTTGAGAAGAAAACTAACTTTCAGCAAGACATAGTGGACCATTCTTTGGTACTGGTCAATAAACATCATGTGTAATAACTACATTTGTAAATTATAGCAAAGAAACTAACCTAAAATGAAAGAAAGTCTATCAACCTTCCATAAGTGTCTGCTTTGAATTGCCATTGATTCTAGAGAACCCTTTTACTCCCAATGGTTAACTTCAAAAAAGGGTTAAAGGAGTGCCAAACAACAAAAAGTGAAAAATTAAAAAAAACAAAGACGAACTACAACAAACAAAAGAATATAATGCAAACAAGAGAAAAACAAAGGCCAAAGGATCAAGTATACAACACATTCAGTAATTGTGACTTCTGCTGGTCTCCTTTCAATTCCCCCCCAAAAAAAGAAAAATCGAACAAATAGTAATTGGGGAAAAGGGTTGAATTAAAAAGCACTAACCTATGGTACAAAGGTACATGGCTGTCGGCTGAAGTCCAGGGAAAGCTTCTCAATAAGCATTCGTTGATCTTCTTGAAGCTTTCCCTGTACTACAGAAAAGGTTTTTGGGTGACTTAAAAAGAAATAGCCTCACTTTAACAGGATATTTTACCCGAACCCCATCCCCATTACTGTCACACACAACATCCCAGTTTTCAGGAAATTTGCACCTATCAAAATCAGTTTTTTCTAATAAAATATACCCCTTCTGCCTAGCTTCCCTCCCCTTTCCATGAAACAAAAACCTAAAACAATCATAATTAAAATCTAAAATAAAATTGCCCCTATTTTTATTTTTCAATTTATCAAGAATTGATTCCCTAAGGGCATCAATGTTTTGAATAAGCCTTTCCTGGCTTATGTTTGGCTTGTTGTAGGATCTGTTGTAAGAGAAAGAAAAAGAAAACCAGGATAAGTTAACAGGGTTTCACAGCCCTTATTCATTATAAATAAACAATGTTGCAATACTACATCGTTATTGTAGAGTGATATAAAAATTATTACAAAGGGCAGATATGAGAAATTACTATTTCTGGAATCAATACTAGCTTATAATAAACTTGCAGTTTCTGAGTGCATTTTTGTCTTCTTACTTACATTACAGTATGAAATATTGTATGTTCTCTGTAAAGATAAGAAGCAAAATACCTGATTAGATCGGTAGTGAGGTTTTCTTCATCCTCCCAACTATTAAAGAAGGCGCTAAAGCCTTTCCACTTGATTAAATATTGGGCCTGGAAATGGAAGGTAAAAGGCTTTAAATATGCACCACAAGGATAATATAATAACACCACAAGGCTAAGATAATAATTATTTACTCAGCGTCGATCGTGAGGTCCTCTTCAACACGAGCCTCTCAACGGGAAAATAGTCCTTGGAGGCAGTAGTTTTCTTTTTCTAGAGATTCTGATGTCCCCATACAAGATCAGCAGAGGACATTTTCTGCATTTTCCGAAACAAACCGCGGGTATTTCGGCTTGAACTTCTCACTCCGTCCACCATTATGCATGAATCATTCTACACACCGTAATCGGATAGTAGAGCGCATGTGCAGTAAGAATTTGCCTGGATTTGTGCGCCCCCATTTCAAACCGCTGGCTGTCTCGGATTTCTGGCCATGGTACAAAAGTACCAAAATTTCACTGTACTTTTCACTTCTATTGAACAGTCACTGCTAATAAGCAGTCATGGTCACCCTTGACTGAGTTCCAACACCATGTTTGTATTGTCCTTCACCTGTATTGAATGGTCACTAAGTACAGAACCACTAAAAAAAAAACTGAGAATAATCTTTCAAGTAAAATTACATCGACGCTTACCTCCCCTGAAATAGATGTTAGCAGCATTTTTTAAGTAAGGTTTTGTACATTTCATGGTCACTTATAGCATAAATGATGTTTGTTATCATTTTTTACAGTACCCCTATTCTGTGAAACCTGTATTTAACAGTCAACCAGTTTTAAGTGGTCACCCTACCAGTCCGCATAGCCCATTGCAGAAACCTGAGAGGACTGGGAAAGAGTGTAGTTGTTTCCCGTTTGTTTGAAAAACTAGGATATTCAAATTAAAAGATCAACTAAATTTGAGAGTCTAAAGCAAGATTAGAAGTATTCAAAGGAGGAAAATAGCAAAAGGACAGCTTTTCATTTCTCACCTAAAATAGAGAGTTTGTATGGATTGGGTAGACAGGCTAAAAGATTTTAAGAGTTTGTATGGAATTTTTGCAACTTTTGCAAGGCTCCGATTTGGACACTTTTCTGCTGAAAACTCTAAAATTTGACTGGGTAGCTTATCATTCCGTAACATTTCAGTTGAAATGTTTAGATTTTCAATGTAATCATTATAATAAACTCGTCCCAGTCCTCTCACGTTTCTGCAACGGGCTTATAATGGTTGACTGCTTAATACATGTTTGACTGTAGTAGGAATACAAGAATACAGGGATGCAAACCTGTTTCTATCGCCACTTTACAGAAACTGTTAAAAAGACCTTTTTATAAATATTAGTATGAAAATGAGTTTTGGATTTTCAATTAAGCTGTATTGTTACATTTCTGTCTCCATTTGCTTGCAGAGTTCTTTTATGTGTTATCTTGTCTATTGCTTTTTGTGCTATTGCTGTGCTAACTTAATAAGTGTCCCCCCCCCCTCAATTAAGCACCCTACTTTCAAGAAGCTAACCCCTCCTTTAGAAAGCTGCATCGCTGTCTTTAGACATGAATGGAGCCTTGAAAAAAAATATCAAGCCTTTAATAAAAATGTCAGGCAGTAACTCACTATTTACCACCAATTGCTACTTGTACCAGCCCCCTATAAAAGTGTTGAGGAAAGTGGAATAGTTGTTTGAGATGAACTGGCATCTGACAAGAGGTAGTAACTACTTCATGTGATGACCTCACTTGTCCATTACAGCATAACAGAGAAGATGCTCATCAGAAATGAATGAGTATAAATTCTATTAATGTTGAACTCAATTAAGGCAAAGGGGTGTAGCTTACGGAAGGTCCTGAGTTTCTTATGACCCTACTCCATGAGACACTGTTCGTTTTTCTCTAAATTCCATGACATACAGAAATCATTCAGATGGCAAAAGAGCATGAATCTGAAGAACCTGCACGACATAAATCACTCACTGCTGATCCAGCAAAATGTAAATTGTAGTAAAATATGTTGTGGATGTAAAAGATAACAGCAGTAAGGGCATTCTGGGCGACACAGTGCGACTGGCCCTTTGAAAAATCATAGCTATGCCCCTGAGGGTTTACCATGCCAGATCTAAAACTCAGCTCATAATTGGCACCATCTTTACTTAAGGCATCTGTCGTTGAGTATTGGCCATGTATCGGCCCATAAAGAATTTATACCCACACTCAGCCCACACTACTGCCACTTGGTTGGCTCTTGTTACTGAGCTCAATTTTCTCCACTCAAATAAGAACTTATTTTCTCTAGCCATGTAAAAGGGACTTTCAGCAACATTCATCTATTCCAGACTGTTTTTTTTTTTTTTTATCATGGCTTCTATATACAGGTACTGCAAACTAGCTAACGCTGGTCTGAAAGGATCTGTCGTGTTCTCTATTGATAATATATGGTGAAGAGACTAAGAGATGGCTGCCCTTCCATCAAAACCATGGTTAACAATACACATATACCACCTACAGTCTACTGATACACCATCACCACTCGACCAATATACCACCAACTGCTGATTGCAACATAAAGGTGTCAGATGAGTGTCAAATGATATACCAACCAAGTAACAACTAACAGTGGCAACCTACAGTCTACCAACTTGAATAACATGCCAACTGGCAGTTGGTCGACTATTGGTTGACATTTTGAGCCAGTATCAGCCAATATAAAGACTAACCATAGATTGACATTCAAATCAATAGTCAGTTGATACTTTTCCAACAGATGCCTTAGGTCCACATGATCCTTAAATGGTACGTATGGAGAATATGCATACGGATGTTAGAGAAATTTGGTTTGAGTCATGCCACCTAAAATTAATAGCCCTATCCATATTTAAAACAAAAAATTATTTCATCTGCAACTATATTTGAGACAAAAGATTGCAATGGACTTTGACATATACATCGTATGGAGCTAAATCTAGCATATTAAAACAGTCTATAATTTGATGGCATGATGTAGGAATTGTTGTGTTGTCAAAATTGTTATAGTTTGTACTTTGTACCGAGTCACGTGACGGGCAGTAAAAAGGCACTGGAAGTTCTTGAATGAATGGCGTCGTTCGGATCTTTTACGCTCGCCGATAAATAACACAACAGGAATCACTTAATTTTTAAATGCACACGAGACTGCACACCACCAAATTTCAGTTTCTTTTCCAGAGGTTAAGATGTGTGGTTGCATAGCTTGTTCAAAAATACACAGTTCGTAAAAAAAAAAGGTAACCTATTTGGGCACTCTGTGATTAAAAGATACAGTAAACTATATTAACTAGCATATATATATATACCTGAGACCTGGGGATGCAGTAAACATAGCCTATCTTGACGATCCCACGGCTTTGTCGTTCTCTGCTATCAAGGATTAGTTTCCAATAATGGCACACCCAAATTCCGAGGATTACCCTCGATGTTTAGATATTGCCCTCAAATCTACCCTATTTCAAAAAAGACTTAAGAAAAAAAAACAGAACTTTGAAAATAAAGACTTCTAACCACTGAGGAATTCTACTGTTATCGCTATTGTTTTCATTGGGGAGATGACAAAATGCGGAGCCCTACTCCATGGAGTACCCTATGGAGTACCTTAATTAATGGAGTACCCCTAAAAGTCAAATAAAATATTTTATAAACATGGTAAATTGTTTGGATGTACATATCCTAAAATATTTTGAGCTTACCGGCTCTCGGAATGTCTCAGTTTAATACAATCCAGTTTTTTGCTGGATTGTTTTAGCTCTCAGTCTTATCCTCCATTTTGGTTTTACCGCTGTGTAATGAGTCCTTTGATAGGAAGAACAACAACTCCATGGGATGAAAAAACCCACTGTTTCGATTTCTGCACGAGGCAAAGTATTTAAGCTTACTACATTTCCGAAGGATTTATTTACTGTTTTTTTTTTTTTTTTTGGTTTGTTTACATACCTCAATTTTATTATGCGACAAATATGATGGGTGAGGAGAAGCTCAGTTTAACGATTATGGATTACCTTTGTTAAGTCTCAACCTACAAATGTGAGCTTGTATCCTCATGGCTTCGCACAATTAAGAAACCCATGAGGCCTTGTGTTATTAAATGGAGCGCTACACCTCTTACAGACCCCACACTTTAACAGGTATTTTTAAAGACGTAAAACCCATTGCAGAATGAAGGATGTCCGTCCTTTTGGACTCTTGAAGATCATATGAAAATAGATCGATAGAAGTTTATTAACGATAACGTTCATGGATGACAGCTACATCAAAGCTTTCCGTAGGTGGCGGTCAGCAGTTTAATGTTAATTTTAAGATGGCGGTCAATTCGTGTACTACATCGAACTGCGACAGTCGGAGAGCTGACAAACTCAAAATATTTCAGGATATGTACATCTAAACGATTCACCATGTTCATAAAGTATTGTATTTCACTAATACATGATTTTTGGGGGTACTCCATTCAGGTACTGCATAGGGTACTCCATGGACTAGGGCTCCGCGTTTTGTCATCTCTCGTTTTCATTGAACAAAGATTGTATGGGGTTATATGGAATTCTTGCCGTTTTTTCCCTTGTAGAAAACGAGGCGGCTGAGGTCGACCTTGTTGGCAGTTTTAGAAGAGTTATGAGCTTCAAATAGGAATCGATTAGATGTCGTATTCATTATTTTGTGAGCCGAGATATTATAGTTATGAATACATGAAGCAGTTCCTCAACCATTCCTTTGGCGGGGAATTTGCTACTTCAGAGCAAGTTCAAAAGTGAAAATTGTAAGATAGAAAAATAACACTTAAGAAACATCACTCAGTGACCTGATCACTTTTATTTCTCACTGAGAACGAGACAAAGATGACACAAGCTGCTTTTCGAGAGGAAAACGAATACATCGCAACGTTCCAAGCGTTTCTCGAGGAACATCATAAAGAAGATATCGTTAACGTTCTAGTAGCTGATGACCCATCAAGCCAGTACTGCGTTGTTGTCAACGTGTTAGAACTGTTTGATTCTAACATTGAGGTCAGTCAAAAGCTTCTGGCACATCCGAACAATATGCTGCCCTTGTTTGATGGCGCTCTGGCTCAGGCGGCCGTTTTGATTATGCAAGAAAGTACAACGCAAATTTCCATGTCGTTCAAAGCACATTTGCACGTGAGGCTTTCCAATCTTCCCATCTGTCCGGAACTTCGAAGGGATAAGATACCTAAGACGTCAGACATCGGTCGTTTTCTTGCTATTTCAGGTAATTTTTAAGACAGAAACATTGAATGAGGACTGAGCATGGCGAAACCCTTTACAACCAAACATCAGTTTCCGATTTCTCCATACTGTTCTCTTTACTTTTCTTTTGCTACCTACAAAGAGAATTTGTATAGCAATCAATACCGCCTTGTACAGTGATACTGTTGGGAGAATTAAGATGCCTATCACTCTCAGGGGTTTTAAGAAGAGAACCCTAAACTTCAATTGGGTGGACGGTTGAGAAACATCACAGAGGGCCAATACAAATGTCCATGGAACCCAAAGTTAAGGCAATCCAGGATCACTTTTCATTTTATAATTGTAGGTGAGAGCATTTTTTTTCTTACCCAACCCTCTGAGGGGTGCTCTTTATGGCCAAGGGGTAAAGGGCTAATTGACGACTAAGATGGAGAATGGGTGACAAGAAATTCTTTGTCATGTAGTCTGATCCTACATGTGAAAGAAATCCTGCAAAGTACTCTTGTCAATAGTAGCTAATGACAACATCATAGTGTGTGTAGATCTTCTCAGAACTACACACACCTAGGTAATCAGACTACACAATCAAATTTTACTCCTGGGTTCAAACCATTATCTGTATTGACCCTTTAACCCTCTAAAAGTGACTGACTTCTAATTTCTCCATTCAGTTTCACCCCTGAATCATCCATCAAAGTCAGGAGAATAGAGAAACCAATCACCAACTAAAGAAGTTCTTGATTGTTAAAGAACTTCTCCTTCCATCACCTTAGGAAATGTATACGGAACAGTATGGAGAATTTGCACACTGATGTTAAGGTTTATAGGGTTAAGAGAAACCTATACTGTTTTAGTCCACGAGTCCTTGGCATAGCTATTTAATTCACACAATTGATATTGTTTAATTTTCAGGAACTGTCATTCGAGTATCCACTGTAAAACTGCTTGAATATGAGAGAGAATACATCTGTGCACATTGTAAACATATCTTTGGAGTACAAGCTGACTTTGAACAGTTTTACTCCATTCCTAAACCAGCCAAGTGCCCTGCATCTAAGGAATGTAATTCAAACAAATTTTCTTGCTTGTCAAATGGTGGTAAGTGCTTCTTGAGAGATTTACAGAGTGAGTAAGTGAATAAGTGATTGTATGTGTTAGTGAGTAACTGATTGGCTGACTGGCAGACTGTCAGACTTAATAGCTGACAGACAGATGGACTGACTGAAAGACTGACTGGCAGATAGATGGACTGACAGACAGACCAACTTATTGACAGACTGACAGACCGACTGATTGACTGACAGGTGGACTGAGTCAGCAATTGAGGGTTTTATTGACTGTTTATTTGACAAAATAACATGGGGCTGATTAGAGATTTTTCCTTGGTCAAAGACCACTGAGACTGACAAACTGTTAATGAACTAAGGGCTGATAGTTTCTAAAGAAACTGTTTGGGGCTACATCGGTGGGGGATAATTAAATAATTTCAATATGTCAACAAAGTTGAAATGGTAAATTGGCCACCGTTATGATTATAAAAGCTGACGTTTCGAGTGTTAGCCCTTTGTCGAAGTGAATAGAGGAATTGTGGGTTGTTTGTGCTTTTAAAGGCAGAAAATGGAGCTACTTGATTGGTGGGAACATGGCAACGAGAAAAACACGAATAAATTAGTGGAATGAAAAGCATTCGTTGATACTTGTGGGATTTAGACTGCTGGTTTGAAAGATGAGCTTTTGTTCAAGAGTTTTATGGCTTTCTGTGCTACCTAAGTGTAAGGAAAGACCGCAGATTGCCATATGTTGCTTAGAATGATTAGGTAAATTAAAATGTCTAGTGACTGGTTTCGATGTGTCCTTGTCATTCCTCTCCATGTCGCGAAGGTGTTCTCGGAATCGGTGACCTAGTCTTCTCCCTGTTTTGCCGATGTAAATCTTTTTGTAATAAGTACAAGTTATGCAATAGGTTACACTGGCGGAGGTGCACATGAAGTGATCGGTGATCTTAATGGATCATTTGGGTCCCGACATTTTCTCAGTGTTGTGAATGAAAGGACACATTTTGCATCATGCATGAGCGCATTTAAAAGTGCCTGGTTGGTCATTAGTCTGAAAAGAACTTCTGGCCAAAAAATTGCCTATGTTTTTGTCGCATTTGAATGAAATGAGTGGAGGCTGCGAAGAGATAGTGCTTGTCTCTGGATTATTTTGAAGTAATTTAAAGTTTTTAAGAATGATGATTTAACGGAGTGGTTGTGAGGGTGAAATGCGAGAGTGAATGGAATACAGTCGGAATCTTCCTTTTGTGATGTTTGTAGTGCTGAATGTCGATCACTAAGTTGGGTGTGGGGGTAACCCGCTTGAATGACAGAATCAGGGTAACCACGTTTATCGAAAAACTGGCACATTGACTCTGATTTGTGGTGGAAATCAGAGTCATCACTACATAAACGAATGTAGTGATGTGTTAATGAACTACACAATGTAACTACTTTAGAGACCTTTATTTTCCAAAAAAGCCCCAAAAACTAAGGTTTTACCATATGGAAAAATATTCCCATGGCAAGATTGATCAATTTTGTAGGGATGGACAATTTCAATAAAATTTATGAATTCTCCATGCTACACAGTACTGAAAGAAGGCTGTCAGAGTTTTGCTCTAAGTGAATTGATCTAGTCGCCACATCAAGGTCGGCTTGTGAGCTCTGATGTAAATTGCCTCACAAGCTCCTTTCAAAGACTATTTTGATTTTGAGTCTAAAATGGACATCTTTTTCTTGGAGACATAGCGTTCTGTCTTGTCCTTTTTGATGTGTCAAGACCTGGCTTAGTAAGGAGGTTAGTTGAGCAACCAATCATTAGTTATTGATTAGTGAATCCAAAATTCAATCAGATAAGGTATTAGATGACGTCTTACATCATCTTTTTGATTTTTATTAAAGCTTAAGATACCAAAGCCTAGCAGTTGTCTGCAATATCAGTGGTCTTTTTTTTTTTTTTTTACTGATCATTGATTCTACAGTCATATGAGTATTAACCTGAGTTTTCTTGTATTCAAAGCATCAGAGCCAAAGAGTTGCCGGGATTATCAAGAAATCAAAATACAAGAACAAGTTCAAAAGCTTGCAGTTGGTACCATTCCACGTTCAATGTGGGTCATTCTTGAAAATGACTTGGTAGATTGCTGTAAAGCTGGGGATGACATCACCGTGTGCGGCATTGTAATGAGGAGATGGAAACCTGTTTTTCCAGATGTAATGAAAAGTTATCATTATTTCCAAATTTTCTTTTGGTGATTTGTATTTTTCTTCCTCTGCTGTTACATGTAGTATTTCTGAATTTAATTACAGAATTCTAGAAAAAAAAGATCTGTTTTGTTATTAAATCATAATCAAGCAATTTGGGAGTAATTATGTTTGGGAAAGCTGGGTAAGGCCAGTTATTTTTGCATCAAGTTTTTTAAAAAATAATTAGTGGCATATTATGGCAGGCTGAGTGCAAAACCTTTTCAATGAAGATGAATTTTTTTCACATGATAAGCAAAACTTATTTTCATATCAAAGGCTTAGTGCACTCACTATTGTTCTTTAAAAGGCTTATCAGCTTGGGTGCAAGATTTTCCCGTTATTGCATTTGCTCTAATCATTTACTGAGTTTTCTTTATACACACTTCTAGAGCCGATGTGATCGTGAGGTGGTGTTCAAGGCAAATCACGTCTCCGTTAACAATGAACAGAGAGCAGCAGTTTTAGTTACTGAAGAACTGAAGCAAGAGTTTGCAGAATTTTGGGAAAGATTTAAACATTCTCCCCTTCTAGGAAGGAACCATATCCTCTCAAGTTTCTGCCCTCAAGTTTATGGCTTGTATGCCGTCAAGCTCGCAGTTGCTCTGATTCTGATTGGCGGGGTGCAGAGAGTGGATGCCTCTGGAACACGGGTGAGAGGGGAGTCCCATCTCCTGCTGGTGGGGGATCCAGGTAATTGACAGTTCCAGTGTCTCAACTTGTATTGCCATAGCTACACCTGCGTGATCAGAGTTACCGTAACCACTTTTTTTTCTAAACATGAATGACAACAATAAAGGTTGATAGTTTCTAAAGAAACTGTTTGGGGCTGCGTCGGTGGGGGTAATGAAATAATTTGGATATATCAACAAAGTTGAAATGGTAGCTCCATTTAAAAGCACACTCAACCCACAATTCCTCTATTCACTCCGACGAAGGGCTAGTGCTCGAAATGTCAGCTTTTGTAATCATTATGGTGGCCAATTTACCATTTCAACTTTGTTGATATATCCAAATTATATGAGTGACAACAAGGTTGATAGGGCAGCCAAGGTATAAAACTCTTGGGATTTTTATAACCCAGTTTCATTTCAATTACCCTTCTTTTTGTTATTTCACTGACTATACTACATTGCAAATAAGTTCAAACACTTTATAAGTATCCCTTTACTAGGGCCCTTTCCTTGAAGAAGGACTTCCTCTAAAATTAAAAAAGGTGCCCAGTGGGTTTTGTAAACTCTGCCCCATTTACGAGGGGTTGTGACTTATCAATGCTCTTAAACAGTAGACTCGACTGAGTAAAAACTAAGCGTTTAATCAATGTCTCTCGAATTCGTCTTACAACAGGTGTGTAAAACTACTCCCCCAAATATGTGGGGCCCTAGTGTTATATACAGAGATATCATGTAATAGAATGACTGATCTGATCTCTCATTGATCATTGCTAAGTGATAATCAATGAAAGTTCACTCAAGGTTACCACAATCAATGGTGTTTATTAAGAAACTAAACCTCTGTTCTACTCAAATTACAAAGTCTCCGACATGGGCTCTCTTTTGGCCAATTTCAAGAGTAAACCCTGCTGAGTATGGTGCCTTAAGAACTGCACTCAGCTGTCAAAATTTTTTTTCAAGGCACAGGGAAGTCTCAATTTCTAAAGTATGCAGCAAAGATCATGCCTCGCTCGGTCCTGACCACAGGAATCGGCTCAACAAGTGCTGGGCTGACTGTGGCTGCCGTGAGGGACTCAGGAGAATGGCAGCTGGAGGCAGGAGCACTGGTTCTTGCAGATGGTGGTCTCTGCTGTATCGATGAGTTTAACAGTATCCAGGAGCATGATAGAACATGTGAGGAATAATTTTTCTTTATTTACAGTGTTGTTTTCAAGCTTCATGTAAGTACACTTTCTTCAGACCAAAATAGGTGTTTGCTTTAATGGGCTGGTCTCCAGATACAACTCTGAACCATGGCCAACATCATGGCCTGGTTAGTGAGTTTTGTTTATATGTCTGACAGGGAAGGTTGGGCTACATTTTTTTCATAAACATGACCCAGTCCTGTACATAGACAAGCGCTAGGATTTTTGGTATAGCCTTTTCAGTTATATGTTAGCACAAACTGCATGAGTTTATGCCTGTTACAATACCAAATTCATCAATCTTGAGATTTCAAAATTGCTCTGGTCAAATATTCAAAAGAAAGATTTGCCATGTCTCTACAGATAGTGGGAAGTCTTCTGTGGAATAAGATGGTCATTCTTACTCTCTATCAGAGGGAATGTTTTCTTTTATGCCTAAGCTGCAAATTTTGCCAGAATTAGTTGTCTGCAACAAGTGGGTGAATCACAGGGACATTAATGATGCAGTACATGCGTGTTACTGATTTTTTCACGACACAATTTTTCTTTGCACAAGCTCCCTTAATCCCCTTCTGGCACACCTGCCTGGCCCCTTCCCCCCCCCAAAAAAAAAAGAAAAAAAAGAGAAAGAAACTCTTTCTCTCTGGAAGGTCTTGTTTTATCTTTTTCCAAAAGACAAACTGATTATCTTACAGGCATTCATGAAGCCATGGAACAGCAAACGATCAGTGTGGCAAAAGCTGGAATGGTGTGCAAACTGAGCACAAGAACAACTGTGTTAGCAGCCACGAACCCAAAAGGACCGTATGATCCGTCAGAATCCCTCAGTGTCAACATTGCTGTGGCCAGTCCATTGCTGAGCAGATTTGATCTCCTGCTGGTCTTACATGATGCAAGAAATGAAGAGTGGGACAGGTACATGCTGGCTAATTCGATTTGTTGTTGCTGTTAATATAAGCATGACTGCTTTTGGGAGGATCTTTGCGAAAAGGGATGGGTTTAGGCTTGTAAATCCCATTTTGCAGCCCAAGTTTTTTTCCAGTTCCCATTCCAACCTCTTTGGGGAGTCAATTTGAGTCACATCGCCAGTTTTTTGTTCGTGATTTCTAATGCCAGGGACCCAAATTCCGTTCCCTCAGTGAAAAAAAAAGGGAAATCCAATCTCATATTTCACCACATCGTGACACTTGTTTGACCAATAAACCGCAATTTCGGGCGTTTTTGCTGTCGTAATAGCCTACAGCTAGTTTCAGGGCATAAAAGTGAAGAATACCGCAGTCTTCTCCCTCAATGGCATTCTTCACAAGGTTTGCCTTTATCGAATTTCAAGTCACATGATGATAGAAGCCTTTATTGCAATCCTCGCGAAGGAAATCGAAAGAAGATTCAAATTCGAAAACGTTTGTTGAAGGATGCGGGCCGCGGGTCTAACTCCGCCGGCAAATTCATGTCAAATGTCAAAATTTCCTGAAACAATACCTTTTCGAATCATAATTCAAATCATGTCTCGGTTTGTTCCATTCAAAACTAGATATTTCCCTAGCAGTTTATTTTGTACTAGTTTCAATCGCATTCTGAAACAATTTATGCCGAAGTTTTAAAATTTCGATCTCAGTAGCGCGGCAAAATTATTCTTGCACCCGGACTTCCCACGGCCAAGCGATGGTTTAAGTCCCTACATTTCAGTTACGCGGTGGGATCTGGGCACGAGATTAACAGCAAAATCTATCGTGGATAATTTGGGGATAATTTGGGGATACCCTTGTATTTGAGGGGGTTTCTTTGAAGGTGGATGACTTTCGATATGGAAAGTGTATTTAAAGCAGGACTTCTTGATTTGCTTTAGAATTGTATCGTCGTTTATTTTGGAAGGCAAGGGCCTCCATACAACAGCCTCTTCATCAGAGCCGCTTTGGAGCATGGAAAGGATGCAAGCCTATTTCTGTTACGTTAAAACTTTGAAGCCTCAACTCACACCAGAAAGCAACAGGTCTGTGTTACAAATGCACATGTGTAAACTTCTTTTATACGTAGCGGGCTACAAATGTAAGTTGTGTCGAGACGCGGTGGGCTATTGTTACCGGGAGAAGATTCCGATTTGAGAGGTCTGGGGTCGAGCCCTGGCCGGGTACTGAGCGTTTTACGATATGTGCAAAGCCTCTTTTTGAAAACGAGGGTAAGTGCAAAGCTTTTGATTTGAAGTGAGTTTTTATTTTCATGCAAAGAAAACTTATTATCATAAGGTTTTGTGCTTGGCCTCGTTCTTTATGCGAGAGTTTTTTTAGAAGTCGGAAATGGCCTATTATTTTGTGTTCTTGGGCAAGAAACTTCATTTTGATGGTGCCACTACCCACTAAGGAAGAGAAATGGACACCAGGAGATGTTCAGGGAAACTAAACGGGGCGGGGAGATGTCTCAATAGCACAACATTCCCGTTTTGAAAAGAAGCAAAACTCTTGGCCGCTTCAAGGATCAAACCGTGAAAAAGGGGAATTTTCGTCACTACAAATCAAAATATCTCAACCGAATTACCCAAAAGGCTGAACGTCAGACAGCAAAATTTCAGTGTATGTCTATTCCAAGTTCAAGCTTCGGTTCTAACTCTCTCTATTTACGAACTGAAACTGGAAAGTTTTTAGGTGAAACTGGAAACGCCCATCAGCAGTTTTTCTTGACCGATACAAATTCATCAGATTAATTTAAAGTATTTTGATTCAACTTTTTACCTGGTGATGGGATACCGCTTATTTAAGAATCGTCCCTTTTCTGTACATTGTTTCTTGGACTTATTTGAATTAGTTAATGAGCATTCAATTTACTTGCAGAATCCTGAGCCGTTATTATCATTGTCAGCGGCAGGCAGACCTTCGCAATGCAGCACGGACCACCATCAGGTTACTGGAAAGCCTTATAAGGTTAGCACAGGCGCATGCACGCTTGATGTGCCGTGAATTCGTCACTGTCCAAGACGCGATTACCGCTGTCACATGCGTAGAGTGCTCCATGCAAAACAGTGCCTTATTAGGCAGTATGAACGCTTTACATACCAAATTCCCGGATGACCCTCAAGAAGAGTACTCGCGCCAGGCCAAGCTCGTCCTGAAGCGATTGCAGCTCGATGATATGGTTGCAGCTACTGATGAACCACAGACACCTAGAGCAGGGAACAGTTCTAACGTTGGCGGAAGTGACGTCAAAAATGATACTCAAGATGCACATATCGATCTGCGTGCTAAGAAAAAGGACAAAAAGCAAAGTTCCTCCGGTGATGAAGAAAGCTGTAATCTCGCCAATGACAACAACATCTCTAACGATTTCCCTGAATTATATTCTCGTGATCAATTAACAGGAGTCTTTCCAATCGCATCGTCGAATGTTGGAACGGATACTATCACTGAAGGCGTTTTAGATAAAGCATCTATTTGTGAAAAATCCGTACATAGCGAAGAGACAAACGAAATAAACAATTCAAACGGGAAGAACCCCTTGAGAAATCCTCCAGCTTTGAGAACAGTTTTAAACAGCAATGAAAATGTCAATTTTGCAAGAAGTGCTAATGATTCACGTATAACCTTGTCTTCGTTGGAAAAGAGTAAAAATATTATTCAAATGTTTTCAAAGAAACCGGTGATCGAAGCTACGACAACTGTTGCGCGAAATAACAGCGGAGCCCTGCAGAAAGAGAACTGCAGTATTTTTACGACAGAGGAACTCGATGACGCAGATTTAGAGGTAGAATGGCCTACCGGTGCTATATCGTCGTGTGGGACAGAAAGGAACGATCATTCTACAACAAACGTGCTAAGGGGGACAAACGAGAACTGCAAATAGTTCAATGAGGTTTAACGCGAAAGAAAAAAGAAACACCTATTATTCTGCGAAATTGGTAATTAAACACGCGGTAGCCATTATTCCTTTCTAGATCTTGGAATTCCAAGTGGAATGTAATTTTATCGTATTGTCACCCACGGTGAAACGTTACTAGCCAGCGAAGAGTGAGATAATAGTGAGATTTAGCACTGCGTTTACGTGAAACGGCAAACGTCAGCTTACCCTTTCACGTTTCACATAAAATAACGTGAACCTTGCTTCTTTAGCCTCGCGTTAGCTCAAGTCCCGGAGGATTTGAAGGCGTATTGTATGACTCACAAAGAATATTTTTGGTGCCCTTTTTTCAGTCGTCATATAAACTTTTGCTCTGTGAGAGAAAAAGTGAATGAATTCTTACGAACACGGCAAACGCGAAAAAGGTTACTTTCACGTAGAAACGGCAAGGCGCAACCGGTAAACGTGAAAAAATGGCGGGGAAAACTAAGTTACGTAGTCTCTCTTGCCGTTCACGTTTCACGTAAATGCGGTGCTAAATCTCCGTTACATGGCTCTTTCCCTATCGTAAGGAACCAGTCACTAGTTAACGCCTTAGAGGGAGTGTGGAAGGATTTGGGGTGGGGGGGGGGATCACATGGTTTTCATGGAGGACGGAGGAGGAACAGTTGTCGCCAACAGAGTGTGAAGCGGGGACTTATTACTACAGAAAATTGACTCCTAATGAGAGGGGGGGGGGTCATAAGGATATTATAGAGTCTTTAGGGGGGATCATATGATTGTGTTCGTGAAGAACCTAAATCCTTCGACCCCACCCCTCTTTTACACTACGAACGGAGTGTTTTGCAAACCGTGATGCGTTCTCAAGATTCTGAAAAAAAGACTCCATTTTTCTTCGGCGTTTTTTTGAGGGAGTATGATATGCGCGTCAGGTTAATGTAATGTATGATTTCCCCATCATCTATAGAACTGAATGATTTTCGATCATTTCTTGTTGCAGTATACATTTATTGAGTATTCTCCAATTTCACACCTTCCTTACTAAATGAGTAAAAATGTTCAAGCACTATCGAGGTAACAGGTAACCTCGCCACTTTGCACGGTCGTCCCTTCGTTCCGTCGCCCCCAGTTATGGTTGCTTCGCCACCAGCTTTTGACTAAAATTCAACTAGGTTTTCAATGTATCTTGATTTCGATGTATCTTTAAAGCTCGGATGTTCGACAGCCCGAGTAACAAAATCCTTAACCAACGATCTCAGGGTTGCACAAAGTTGGTTGAAGTTTTTGATATTTGAGCTGTCGAAACCCCCCCACCCGCTTTAAAACTTTGTAAAAAAATACGTTCAAACCCTTAGCTCACAAGTTGGGCGATGCAACCATAATTCAAGGCAACGAAACTTTACTTGGGGGCGACGGAACTTGAGGCGACCGTGAAAGGGGGCGATGTCATCAACAACCACTATCGAACATGGGATGATGTGTCTGAGAAAGTAGTTTCTCTAGTTTACTTTAGAAGAACTCCATCATTGACCGGGTAACTTTGGCTAAAGGATGACTTAAATAATTAATATATTGTAATAAGGATCGAACGAAATAATATGCTCTAAATGATTCTGCTTAACTTGAGTTATCTGACCTACTTTGTTCAATTTACACATAGAAAAAAGCTACGAATGGCGGAACGAGTCAAAACGATCCCTCGGGGGCCAGTTATATATATATATACATATATATATATAAAGTTACTTCAGGTAAAGTGTACGAGGATTCCCCGTAGTGGTAACCAGATCTCCCACGGTCAGCCATAGTCATGTGTGAGATCTGGGTTCGAGAATACCTCACGTGCTTATCGACTACAAATCACTAGCGTGAACACATTCACATCCGCTGTGATAAGTTTCTTTTACATTTCGGAAAATTGGCCTGGACCCTAACTTGAACATGTATTTGACGTATCTTTCCTTAGTCATCGTAGCGCAAAAATAAGGAACAGATTCCTTTTCGGCACATAACTGATAGGGATTGCTCTCAAACGTATAAACGTCAGATTCATCTACTCCGTACATAGAGCACTTTGTTTCGTCAAAACTTGATTGTAAAGGCTCAAACACAAAGTTGCCAAACTTTACATTTTCTCGAAATTTGACGGAATGGCTTTGATGACACAAACGATGATATTTATATTCGTTGTCGTCGGATTCAACAGCAGTGACTTTGTTGGGAAGCTGGTATCTGAAATAGAAGTACACTTCATTGTTCATGATAATCCTGATATGCTATCATGGTCATGATTATTTTGTGGCAAAACTAACCAAAACACAAATGAAGAAATCACAAAAGAAAAGGCCCGCAATACGTGCAAGTTTGAATCCAAGTGACACATGATTTGCGTCGCAAACACTGCCCCTTTGTACTCAGCCTAAAAAAACCCAGCCTTCCCAGTGGATCAAGTAACGACGGCACCGATACCGACGGCGATGATGATGTAGCCTGATCATCATTAGCAGACGGGATGAAGAATTTTAGCCGAGCGGCTGAAGACCATCTGGGAGCCTGGCTAACATATATAAACTTGCGTGTGTGACTAGCATGGAAAGAGGAGGGATAAGAGAAGATCAATTTGAGCTCGTTTCACGATCTTTGAGGTCTGAATATATGGATATAGATCTCAACGATTTAGCCTCTGAATTGTACTTAGCAAGGGCGTACAAGGTAATTTGGTTTTCTCAAATGAGTTGGTCACGTGATTTGGCCAACGTAATTAGATTCTAAAGCTAAGGTTTCGGGCGTTAACCCTTCGTCAAAGCGAGTCAGGATTCGCAGCACTACCGCTCTTTCAAAAAATCATTCCTCTAAAAAGGACGAAAATAGGATTTTTCAAAAGGAGAGCGAGGGTGTTTCTTTGGTCAGTTGTTCCCTGATAAAAAAAAAAAAAATGACCACTTCTTCACAACGATGAAGGGCGTTTACAAGCACGCGAGAACCACGCCCCTTTGACAAAGACACCCGGTTATAATCTACCGCTGGACATGCTAAAGAACACTCAATCGTAGATGATATAGAGGCTAAGCTCAAATATTAAGTGAATTCAACCAATAAAGTGAGACGTTGCGGAACAACGACATGATCGAGTCCAAACTGAACTGAGCCAAGATGCATCTATGGACGTAGCAGTCGTAGCTGCTGTGAACTAACCAGGGACCAATCATTATCTATCGCCTGAGGGTGTAAGTTCAGAAAAATTTTCTGGGGGTGGTTGATGATCGTATGGTTTTCAGGGGGAACGAAAGGGTGGTACGTGGTCGGTCCTCCGTAACAGAGTATAGAGAAGGCCTGGGAACTATAGAAAATTGACTGCCAGTTGACTACCGAGGAGGGGGAACTAAAACAACATTACAGAACTTCATGGGGATCAGGTATATTTTATCGAGACACAACAGAAATCTTCTGATTCTCCCCCCCAAAAAAATCAGATGATAAATAATAGCCGGTTCTTTGGATCTCGCCACTGCGTGCCCTGCAGCAAGGGGAAAAAGAACAACCACCACGAGAGCCAATTGTCTAGTAAATACACATGGTAGCGACCACAGATTAAACTCAGATCCAACTATTTGTGGATTGGTCAACACTGCATGCACAGCACGTGATTGCAAAATCAAGTAAACATGCGGAACATCATGTTTAGGTAGCTATAAGGAAGTTGTAGCCAGATATAAGCCGTTCCGCGGAAAATACTCTGTCGATGCTATATCAAATTGAAAGAACATCGGCATTTCTTTAAAAAATTCCGCGTGTTCTGGAAGCATTTTTTTTAGTACACAAGAAAACTTAATGTTTCAAATCTTTTACACTAGCCCTAGGCCTCGCTCTTCCCTCGTCTGACTAAATACAAAAAAAAAAAAAAAGAACAGGTGATGATAGTAAAATTCGTTAAGGTCCATTGTGCTCTGTTTTTCCGCATTGCATAGCTAGTTTTCAAACCCGCCCGTTCTAAGTTCAGTGTGGGAAATGATCGAAATACTTTATGTCCCTGACGTAAAATGTCTTCTCGTTTCGGTGCAAGTATTCATTCACAAAAATCTACATCCAGTTGTCTCATTGTCCATGAGTCAAGGAAGCTTATGGTTTTTTCTTTAATAAGCCTGATCTTTAAAATAAGCATTTAACACACTCTTAAAAGCACTTGAGAGCTAGTTGTTGCGTGCGGCAAAATTTTAAATCGTGGTAGAAAGTCCAAGAACTGCGGTGGAGACTTTTTTTTGTGAATTCCTCATTGCGTGAAAAGTAGCAATATAATACACACACAAACCTTTTGGTTGGATCTTTTGATTTCCTATTCCAGCTTCGTTTAAAGAAACTCCACTTGTTAGGAGCTGTTTTGTCACGGAAATTTCCAATTTCGTCAATGGCCAGGGAAACACCCACAAAAAGCGTGAGCACCAGGAAAATCTGTCGGCGACAAAAACAGAAATATGATAATAATTATCAAAATTTGGAAATTATGTTGAACAGATTTGTCCAGCTCAGGATGATGAGCTTGGATCGATTCCTCAGTTGCCCCCAAAAAGTGCCTCGTCTCATATCATTCGCTTTTATTTCTATTCTTCCGTCGTTTCTTGAAACCATTTTTGTTTCGGCATATGCCGGCATTGTACCGAGCGCTATGATCCTGAATTAAGACGGACCGTCTCCTTTGATAACCTTGGCGTTGGTCGAAAATGAAAGTTTTCCTTGTCAGAATACTATCTCGTGATCAGTTTAAATCGCAGAAGCAGATCATCGAGAGCTTTAATCGCTAATAATAGCCACCGAAAGAAACTTTAACAACATTTTTTGGCTAGTTTTGAAGATTCAGATATGTTTTACAACTTCATAACACCCTAGAAATAGCGACGTGTATTTGTAAATTGCAATCTTGTCGCCATGCTCGTGCGGGCAAATCAGTGTTCAAACTAAGCCTACAAAACTCAAATCCGGCGAAAATCGTTCGAATTTGACTTACCCTTTGGTTTTCCATTTGTAAATCGTCGATACAATTACCAAGGTTTGCTAGAACAACAAATTCGTTGTAACAGGCTCTTCAGCTGTTGTTTCCAAGAGCGTCAATACCCCTTGATATGGATTACACCTTGAACAACACGACTGATATATCTTTGAGTTGCATCGCCAGCTCTTTAAGTTGTTAGGGCTCATCAAACATATTGTACCTCAGCAAGTCAAGCGTAAATTACACAATAATCTCATTTTATTCAAAACTGTCACGAAAGTGGTAATAAACTGCTCTAAAGTCAAGCAACCAACATTTGAGCCTGCTCTTGAATCGATCATACAAACCCCTAGATAAGACTTCCTATTCCAGAAACTTCGTTGTCTATTATGGAAAATCGCCCGCAATAAAACCTATATCGTTTTTTGACGTAATGCAAATCGCGTCTTTCTTTTCTATAGTTAGGGACGCTCTACGTCCGGTCAAAACCCCCTTGGTTAACTCTACGACAGTGTATGCGTCTGCAATATGTGGAACGCTTGACTTATTTTGATTGTATTCATAAATTTTCGGGCTGCTATCTGATATCGCGACGAAATTTCAAAATGCTAGCAACTCACGAAACAATTACTTCTTTAGTTTGTGTCCTTTGCGCTATCGTCAGACGATTACTCCAGCGTGTTGTAGTCGTCACGGTTTTACATGACTTCAGTTTTCCGTCTTTATATCCTGCATATCTAATGTGCCGGTTTTGTCGATTCACTTTTCCGCGTTTACGTCTCGAAGGTTCTGCCGGCGACTGACTTACTTTTTAAACTTTTCTTTAGAAGCAGTTTTCAAGCCTTCATTTAACTTTCTTGCAATGCAAAAGTAACTTGACCAAGATTAGCCACATATATACAAACAAAAAGAACGATAAGCGAATAAAATGCGAATACAAATAAAAAGAACGATAAGCGCTCTTTTGTTCATGCTACACGAAAGAGCATAGATTCAAGATTAAGTAAGATCGTTGAATTTAAAGATTTTTATTTTAAGGTAACATCTGCCTCAACAGTTAATTTTTGTGATCAAGACTATTTTATTTTTAATGATATCTTATGCAGATTATATCACATCTACTCTAGAAATTTTTATAATTATTAACCATTAGTAATCTTACTGTTATTTTGTATGTAAGTTAGTAATAGATATTAGTTTTACGTCTAGTTTAAATGCACGACCCCATAAGCGCGAAGCTTTAAACGCTTATCGTGTTGAAATAAAGTTGATGTTATGTTATGTTATGTTAAAATAGACACACGCTTTGTGTTTGTCTGCGGGATCGTGTCCGAAAACATTTTACCCCATTGCTATTCACAGGTGCAGTATAAACAGTAACTACTATTTTTATCCTTGCAATGGTAATAAAGTCATTTTTCTGAACGGATTTCTTCGTTTATAATCTCTGCTTGGAGTTTAGCGACAACTTCTTCAATTCAAATCAAGAAAACACTCTTTAACGTTAATTCTTTAATTAAAACTTTCCCTGAACTGACACATTTACATTCGCCTTGAGGCTTTAGGTCAATGACGGGGCTAGTTCATTTTGCCGAAGTTCCTGTTTGGATAAATCAATGCGGAAAAAATTCATGTAAATTACCCAGTCAAGGTCTTCTACAAAACCTCTTTCTGTTTACTGGCTTGTAACTAATTAATGGAACAGCTTGTTTGTTGAATACATGCGTAAGCCTGGAACTAATCTAGTACCTAGATCCTACCGTGCAATCGTAACTGAACCGCTTGGCCGTGAAAGGTCGTGGTACAAGACTAGCCAGTGACAAAATAGATCTCGTGATGAATAATACATAATTTGTTTCCAACCGATTGAGTCTACGATCCGATGTATTCATCATAATATAAATATCTGTAAGATGTTTGTATGGATGTACTCGAGACAATAAACAAGGGATTTTGAACAATCAGAAACCGCGAAGTATATATCTCATTCATGTTAAACTTATTTCTTATTAAACGAGTGGGAGTTCTGTATGGGAGAATCTTGACCGAGGTCGCCAGTACAGACCGAACGCAGTGAGGTCTGTATCAGCGACCGAGGTCAGGATTCTCCCATACAGACTGACCTAGCCCGGTTAATAAGATGTTTCAGTTATATGGCTGTGTCTTACATGCCAATTTTTTATATTCTTTGTAACTTTTTTTTTCTAGACCGATCTAGGTGCCGGTCTAGATGGGAAAATCTAGACCGCTTTCATGATTGATTTCTGCCAATCAAATTCGTGAATCGATAGTTCCCAGTCCTTGTGAGACACAACCATATAATAATGTTGATTTTTGCTTTCAGGGTTAAGATTTCTACAAACTTCCTTCCTGGAGCATTCGACAGGAAAGACTGTGCTGCCAGTATAGGATATTAAACATCCTTTAATTTCTTAAAAAAAAAAACAAAAAACAAAAAACAAAGGAATAAAAAAATTGAATAGGTGCAGGAAAGGCTGCATATTTCCATCGGATTCAAAACTGCAATTTCCTTCCTCTCTATATTGGCATAGTGGGAGGCGCGGTGGCCTCATGGTTGGTGCGCTCGACTCCGGATCGAGTGGTCCGGGTTCGAGTCTGGGCCGGAGAAATTGTGTTGTGTTCTTAGGCAAGACACTTTACTCTCACAATGCCTCTCTTCACCCAGGTGTTTAAATGGGTACCGGCAAATTTAATGCTGGGGGGTGACCCTGCGATGGACTAGCATCCCATCCAGTGGGGAGTAGAAATACTCATAGTCGCTTCATGCTATGGAAACCGGAGTTAAGCACCGGACACTGATGGGCCACGGGCTCGTAAACAGACTTACTTTTACCTATATTGGCATCTTGAAAAAGAGGAAGGAAATGATTATCTGTAAAAAACTTTGACAAACAACTTCACCTATTCTTAACTCTCAAAGCAAGATGCAATTAAAGACGACTGGACTTGAGCAGTGAACTAGGGATCTCTAGTTGATCAATCATGCGTCAAAATCATTGTCCAGATCAATCCATTTGCTTACTAAACATGTTGAATATATTGTATGTATGATGTTTATCAAAATTTATTTATTTATTATAAATTTATTTATTTATTATAAATTTATTTATTTATCATAAATTTATTTATTTATCTAACCTCCTATGCTTGTAGACTGCAAGGGTTTTCCTTTTTCTGAGTCGTGTATTTATCTATTAATTCGGTATTAATATATATTTCCCTCTATCGTGGGGCCGTCAAATTGGGTCGATCAACAACCAACTAGGGTTCTTTTCTAAATCTGAGAATAGGAAAAAGGCCACCACAGAGAAACCGCGTTAGTCCTTTAACAGTATTTCCATGAAGTGGGTCTTTTTTTATAGGGTGGTCGGTAGATAAGGCAAATGTTTTTTTAAAAGCTCAAAATTATTCAAAACTCTGCTTATCTGATTTACCCTGATTTCTAAAGGAAAATAGCACCACTATAACTCGCGATCTTTTTAATAGGGTGGTTAAATTAGAGCAATTTTTCGATGAATTGTTTAAAGTAATCTGGACTGCATTAGTTTTTCTTCACCTCGCCTTCATATTTCTCTTACAAATTTGGACTCGACTACCCTCTCAACTAAAACAGCGCCCACGCGTCGGGAATGCGCAAGTGGTTCAATTCTGTCAATGCTGCGCCAATTTCCCGCGCAAAATGTCGAAGTAGCGAAAAAGAAAACTAGAGACTTTTCGAGAAAAACGTGTCATTTGATGAAGGTTATCCTGCACATTCACCCTTTCGTTTTGAGCTTTGTGAAAAGAGATAGGCGCCTTCGAAACACCGTGATTTCCTGTGGTAGTGTACTTATACTCCTGTGAGAAAACACGAAAGCATGCCTCGTATACGTTGGC